AGTGGACCACAGATTTTTTTTTTCTGCTCTCCAAGAAAAGTAAGTTAAAGAAATGAAAGTTGCATTTCTTGGGTAAGATATTAAGTCTACTGTGGCTTTGCTGAAGAGTTGCCCTAGTTCTTCGGAAACACATGCTGACTTTTCTGGAGGTAGAATGTCAAATGTCTGCAACTTAATTTCTAAATGGTTCATAAAATTGTGTATACAGTGAGAGAAAGAGGAAAAGTGTAAATGTTGCAAAATGTTAACAACTGGTGAATATAGGTAACGGATATGTAAGTATTCATTTTGCTTTTTCTCAACATTTTTAGAGGTTTGAACTAATCTCTCTTCACACAGATAGTTCATGTACATTTGAAAATAGCCTCTCTTGAATGCTGTATTCTTAGTCAGGAGGCCTGGAGGAGTTATCTGAATAACTACAAAATCCTCAGTCCCAGGCCTTTCCCTACCTCCAAGGAGACCTGGACTCTGTAGATAAGGGTGAGGCCCAGATCTATATATTTTGAAAACTTCCCAAATGGGTTCTGCGTTGCACGTGAGATTTAGGAATCATAGGCCTGAGTTATTTTTAGATCCTGGAACCACCAGGAATGAGCTGTGTGACTCCAGGAAGTTAAGCCAGATCCACTCAGCTCTGGAAGCATTATCTATGAAACAGGAGGGCTAATGCTAAATGTCTCACAGAATTATGGAAAGAGCAGCATGAAAGACAGTGTCTGCCAGTGTAGAAGGTGGCAAATAAATGCTTCCTGTCTTCCTTCATCTCCGCGGAGATCCATGTCATCCTAGATGGACCATACTAGAGCAGTTTTCATAAGATGCCATTTGTGCCATTTGCAAGTTACATAATGTATGAAGGAAATTGGTGTGTGAGCATATTCTTTTAGATTTTCTGAATTCCCCAGTTTGGAAGCTGGAAAAGTTCTCTTGAGTCTGATTACTAAGTTAGCCTTATAGATTACCAGTCTCCGAGTTCTCCTTTGAATGAAGTCTTAAACCCCTATATTAGCTTAGGATCCTACACAAGACAGGAGGGATTCCAAGACAGATAACACTGACCAAATGTCATTTGGAATGTTGGCTGTGGCTTGTAACTGGCCCACGATTCAAAGGTATGGTTTTCAATCTGTTCATATAATTCATCAGCCACAAGACTTTGGAAAGGTAATTCCCCTAAGCCTCAGTTTCCTAAGCACTCTAAATGGAGATAATAATAATTCATGACTCACCTAGCTCCCATGATATATGTGGAACACTTTCGCACAGGTGAGTCATAGATTATTATTATCTCCATTTTGAGTGCAGCTTATTTTTCTCCTTAAGAGCATATTCCTTCTCCTTTTAATAAACATTGTTTAACTCTATTATTAGTCTTAACCTGTTTCTCTTTGATCCAAATACAGATAGAATGACTTGCTCCCATTTCCTCTGCTTAAACACCCCTTTTCACCTTTGGATTGGTTGCCCCAAGGCTCAGCCAGGGAGAACCTGCATGCTGGACCATCCGTGGAAGCACCCCAACCCCTTACCTTCCAGCACCTGACCACTGTGAGGCTTCCACAGCAGAGGTATCAAGGCCAAGCTGGACCAACGCTATCTCTTCCCCTTAGTTGACTCAACTTACTAAATCCATTAACATCCTGGGAGCTAGAGGAGAAGCCTTCATCGTTGCGGCTGGAGCTGAGCTTGGTGGTGGGTTTGTCAGCCGAGGCCACAGGTCCCATCTCCCTTTGGGCTCCGCTCTGTGTCTCTTTCTGCTTCTTGGCCAGCTTCCTTTGGGACATGTGCAAGGGAAAAAATCACAGTCAGATGGTGCCGGTTGCATTCAATTATTGAAAGGATAGATTACATTCCTTCCAACTCCTCATCCTCAATCCCCATACTTTATTAATTCTCTGGAAATAGTTAATGCAACCCCTCCAAGGTCAGGGGAGAGTAAATCCAAATTTTCTTGAAACCATTAATGTGGTCCTTGCAGTAGGAAGTGTGTGACTCACAGTACCTCATTCTCAACAGCAGGGATGTTCTATACTTGAGATTAAGAAAGAAAATTGATGAGATGTTACCATATTTTCCCAGCTCTCCTTTCAAAGGAAGGAAGCATTCAGGTTAGTCCTTCTGTTCTCATGTCTCTTAATACAACTGATAATAGAGTCTTGTCTTTATCAGAGACTAAGAAAATGATATAACTTATCAAATGTTGGAATACTGAAGTAGGGGCTGGTGCTTAGTAGTGAGTAATGGTAGAAGTTGGTCACATAGCTCAGAAGAGAAAAGCTAAGCTGAACTTAATGTATAGATATTTCCATGAGAATAATACATTCTCAGACCCAGAAGTTCACTTATAACAGCAGTGCTAGTGTCCCACTAGTTCTCAGACTTTGACATAGATTTGAATCAGTTGAAGAGTTAAAAAACATCATCCACATGACCAGGATTATGGAAGTAGGACAGGCAATTATGACACCAACCAGTGAGGTTTAAATGATCAGCTTTGTCATCAGACAGATGTGGATTCATGCCCTACCTCTGTTGTCTACCAGCTGCGTGATCTAGTGAAAGGTCATCTTTTTTTTAATGTATTTGGTACAGGGTCTCAATAAACAGCTCAGACTTGTAGTGTTCTTCCTATTTTCAGCCTCCTCAGCACTGGGGTTACAGGTGTGCACCACCATGCCCAGTCTCAAAGTCATTAATTTCTTTGGGTCCTCAACTCTTTTTGCATACACTCTGGCAAATAATAGAACCAACATCACAGGTTTGTGAGGATTAAGGATAATATGTGAAATCCAGGGTACAGATCCTGGCAAATAATAAACACTCAATACATGTCAGTTGCTATTCTTGTCATTATATCATTGCCAAGTGATCCAACTGCCTTCTAGTATCTGAATTCCTTCTTTAACAGCCCTAGAGTCTTGTCTCTTTCTGAATTATATTAAGGTATAGAGACTTTGATTGCTGTTAAGTGAAGGAAAAGGTTAAAGAGTTCTTCATTTATGGATTTGAAAACTACTTCCCTTAAATTTTAACTCATAGGTCCTAGATATTTTATTCAAGATATAATAATAATTTAATGAATATTTCTTGCCTATAACATGTATTCAAATATTTCTAAAAAGCAAATGTGAGTCCTCTGGGTTTTCTCATCATATATCCATCTAAATATACTCATTATGTTCCTATCACATGGAAATACAGGTTAAATATTACATATCTTGAGGATTGTTCCATTCTTCACAGTTTCTGGTTTCGAATTCAATCTTGGCTATTTCTAGCTGAATGTAGAAAGGATAGATGTCCCAGGGAGGACATCAAAGCAATTGAGGGAATAATTTTCCTAATTTGAACTTATCTAATCATAAGGTAGGCCATTCAAGAGGTAATAAACTTGTTGCCAGAGGAGTTATTTAAAAAGGATAAAGCTAAACATAGAAGTATTTTAGAGTTTGTCTATGACCAACTCTAGTTTGACAATACTGTCTTTAAAACATGAGTCCTCTGACTGAGGTATAGACCGTACAGAAAGACAAATGGTACACATACATGAAGATGATTTCAGTCCTATTACAAAAGGAGTATTTAAAAAGACTGTCGATAAGGAGGGTATGGTGGTGTACTCCTGTAATCTTAGCACTCTGGGAGGCTGAGGCAGGAGGAATATGAGTTTAAGCCCAGTCTGGGCAACATAGTTGAATCTTGTCTGAACAAAAATATTTTGAAAGGCTGAGGGATGAGATAAGGGGAAAGGCTTCTGTACAGCATCATACCTACCATACACACATACATAATGCATACATACATACATAACACATGCATAACACATACATACACACATAAGTAAATACACACACATACACAGAAAAGAAAAAGACTCTTGGCCAAGGAGTGAAGAGCACAGGGAAGCCCAAGGTATGATACAGTGATGGAGGAGCTGTTTACCACCTATGAATCCAGAAAGACACGCAGAAAGTGGTAATGAGAAACACAGGTCAGCATTATAAAAGAAAGGCTACCCAGACAGAAGCAGTGACTTTCTCCTATGTGGTCCAGGTACAACCAGTCCCAGATGAGTTCATGGAAAGGGTACCAGAGACCAAAGTACCCTGATGATACCCTCCCCTGTCCCTCTGTCCCTGGAGCAGCTCTCATTTGCTGTTCTCAGTTAAAATCTAGATGTGGCAAAGGACTCCATTGGTGGACTTCTTAGACCACACGCAGTAAAAACAAGAAACAGTAGAGACAGAGAGTGCCAGCTTGGACCCAGGAGTCCAGAGAACGAAAAGGCAAACTTTTGCATCCTTTATTTGAGAATAATTTGCAGGTAAATGCATCCTAAAGTGGAATTTTTTTTTTTTCTGAAAAACTGGCCTGGGGAAAGAAGGAAACTCAAAAGTAGGAACATATGTTTTGATGACAATGTTTTGGGGACTGGAATACTGTTTTACTAGTGAAACTATTCCAGAAAGATAGAAGAACAAGAAGTGAAACACTGGATCAGCAAAGCCCTTTCTCACTGTCAATAGACCATCCACAGGCAGGTAGAATGCCAGTGAAAGAAAAATGAGGAGGTTTGCTGCTGATGACATTTAAAATTTTATTCTTCATTTATTATCAAAAAGGAGTATGTTTAAAAATGTATATGTGACCTTCTTAATTGTAAATGTGAAAAGATATACAGCAGATTCTTTGCCTCTATCCTAGATCACATTGTCCCAGCAGAAAATAAAAGGAAATTTGAGAAGAGAATTAGCTTTAAAATTATAGATGCGTATCTATCAGGATCTTTGATATTTCTTTAGGGGAAGAACTTCTAAGCAATCTCCTACTGTTCTGAGTAAAAGAACATGGACAAAGTTGTCTTGGGCACAAATTGCTGGTTTTCAAAGGAACACTAAAAAAAAAAGCTCTCTGCTTCTATGACAAATTGTCATCTATAGACATGTTTGGGTAGGTTGGAATAGCTGCATTAGAAAAGTGAGAAATGGGGCCTCTCCAAAACATAGTTAAAAATTAGAAAGCTAAGTTGTAAATATCAAATATATGACATCTATATTAGTCAGTTTTGTGTTACCACAATGAAACACCTAAGCAATTAACTCATGAGGAGAAAATATGACCCCCAGATTAAGTTGAACCTCTAGAAAGGAAGGCACATCATGTGACCCATGTGGCAGAACAAACCCCTCAATGCAAGAGCTAATAAAACACAACTGGGTGGGTCAAAGTCCCCAGATTCTCTTGGAGGATCCAGTAGGTCTCATTTCTTAAAGGTTCATATCATTTCCCAGAGCTACCATTCTGGGGACCAAGCCTTTTAACACATGGAACTTTGGGGGTCACTCACCTAAACCATACAGCATCCTTAGTATGTAACCCATGACTGACACAGACTATATGTTCATGTTGATGATGATATTATATAAGTGTTTTGCTAGGTGGTAAACACAGCTAGAAGGTAGAACAGGAGCAGATGAAGAAGGAAATAAAACACAGAACACAGTTGGTGATCTATATTCTTCCAGAATTCAAAATTTAAGTATCAAAAATGACCTCAGGATTCCGGGAAAATAGATATTTATTTTTTAAAAAGTTTAACTTACTACGCCTTTTATTTTTTTTCGGGAGAGAGGAATATCTAAGCTTGTCAGTAGGTCATATAATGCCTCAAACTATGGTCTAAGCTTCAGCTCAGCCTTCTCTTTCTCACATACCTCCTTTTAGGAAACCTCAACTATCTTCTCCCATTCTATCCCCCAATCCTCAGTGTTCTTTATTCCTTAATATGTCCCTATTCTTCCTCACTAGCTGCCTCCTCCTTCAAGGTTCAACATCATTCAAATGTCACATCTCCTTTAAGACTGCCCAGTGCTGCTCTAACAGAATTATCATTTCTCTTCCTGGCTGACTTGCCCATTGAACAAATATTTATTGAGCAGTGTGGTATCACCCTCTGATAGATGTAAGAAGACCACAGCTTCTTGGCCTTCATGGTCAAGAAGGCCATCAAGAGACTAACAACAAAGCAGACATTAAAGAGGTAAAAGCAGAAATTAAAATCAAAAAGATGACAAATGCCAAGAAGAGTATTTGGTGTTAAAAGAGGAGAATACCTAGCTCGAACACTGACAGGAGACCACTGAAAGTTGAGGTATCCTGTCTGCTAAGCACTTATTCTTTCACTTTGCAGTGACTCAGTTCTCTCACCCACTAGAGCAAAGACCTCTTGGAAGGGAGGTTTCAATTCTTTGCTTAGTGTTTGGCACACACTCAATAAATCTGTTGCACAAATTGATAAATATAAATCCTGTGCCCCTAGGTGTAGAAGATTGTCATCCTACTTTAACTACAAATTATAACCACTTTAAAAGTAGATAAGTACAAGAAAAGAAGGAAAAACCTACATAAAATCAGTTTATGACCTGGGATATCTGTACCTAAGAATACTATTAATTAACTCAACAATTTCCTTCTTTGAATGTTTGCAGAATTAACGTCAATTCACAGAAATCAGAAACTCCACAACCCTTAAGTCCCACAGAATATTAATAGCTATTGAATACTGAAAAAAACTTTTAAAATAGTTACATAACTTATGGGGTGGGCATAGAATTTGTGAAATCCTCAGAGCCTTCTCGAGGTTCAACTACTTTCGACTTTCTGAACTTGGAATTATTTCTCTAGTTGTTCAGAAATTCTTGCCATCTGGGTCATACAATTTCACCACCAGGGGGTACCAAAAGCTGGTAAAAAGAGAGCTTGCTTAAGCCCAC